TTTCCCTGAAAATGTGTTTGAATACCAAATTGTTTGAGTTTGGAATGGTTTGAGTACCAAGGTACCACTGTATTTATATACAAGCAAAACAAACAAAACTTTTTTTAATTTTGACTATTTGTAAAATAAAATAATGTTGTCAATAAATTTTAAATCAGTCAAAAATTAAAATTTTTACCCTTTCTCCTGGTCTTCCAGGAAATCCTTGTTTCCCTGAAAATGTGTTTGAATACCAAATTGTTTNTTTTTTGGTTGTCATCGAGAGTGCCCATCCCTTCTTTACCCTGTGGCCCACCCAAAGAGCTGGTTATGCAACAGAACATGTAATGTTTAGACCACGAGAATGCCCATCGCTCCTTTACTCTGTGACCCACCCAAGGGGCTGGTTATGAGCCGGTTAAGCAACAGAACACATCTTCAGACAACATTTGTCTATATAAGTAATTTAATTACCTGGCATGAGAGCATTTGAAAATAATAAAAATATTGATTCTAGATTTTCTTATGAGAAATTAATAAAATCAATGAATTGGAAATTTACGTATTAATTAATCTAAAAAATATTTGATGGTCAACATATTGTAAAATAAACAAACAAAAAATGTTAAAAATACTTACATCTCCAGGAGGTCCTGGCGGACCTGGCATTCCTGGTATTCCATGAGCGCCTGACTCACCAGGTTGGCCCTAATTTAAAAGATAATATGTACTATATCTAAATATTACAAACAGTTTTAAACAGAAGTTATTAGATTTTCAATGCTATTAAGTATTTTCAGAATATAATAATGATTCATTATTAATATACAGTGGTATCTCAGTACAGTACTTGAACTAATTTGTTCCAGAAGTCTAAGTACTAAACTAATTTTTTCCATAGAAATAATGTAATTAAATTATAAGAATTAATGTAATTAAATTAATCCATTCCAGACCCCAATAGTATATTTATAAAAGCATTTTAACTAGGATCTAACACAAATTTAACAAGAAGTTTACAAGCCTAGCATGCACAAATCATTAAAAATACTAAAAAATAGTTCATATGCAATACAGAGTAGCAAAATATGCCTATTAATTTTATTGGGTTAAATAGAAAGTTTTTGTGTATTTTTAACAACTGTCATTACTTAACATAAATATGTGATTTAATTATAACAGTTGTGACATTTAATACATTATTGCTAATGAGAGATTGTATTCTTTGTTTAGAAGCTTATTTTAAACATTTTACTTCACATTTTGTTTGCATAAAACCAAGTTAAAATGTCTGCAGATAAAATGCATACCAGGCATATTATGCTTTTTGAATTTTGTAAAGGATATAATGCTAAAAAATCCATAATGTGTAAGGGAAAGATGCTCCAAAAACTTTGAACATATCAAATGTGATTTTAAAAGTTCCTTTTGGGAAATTCTGAACTAAAGGATACACAATAGAAAGGTGCTCAAAAGTGTCAACAAAAAAATTTCCCGAAGAAATTGTTAAAAATTGACAAATGACAACTTGTGAACTTGCAACAAATAATGTGTCACTGACATGTATTGTTGAAACACTTCATTAACTTGGAATGATTGCAAAACATAATGATTGTGTTCCACATGCATTAAGTGAAAACAAAAAAAAACAAACTGGATCAAGTATAATTTTGTCTGATGAAGATAGGTAGTTGTAAGGTTTCATTTTATTTTTAAATTAGTTACTCGTTTTTATCATAGAAAACTTTTCTACAGATGACAAAATTAAAGTTAAGATAAGAATATTTGTTATTAACCAAAAATTTGTTTCAGTGGGTCATGATTGTTCAGTTGAGTACAGGGCAATTTTTTCCCTGAAAATGTGTTTGAATACCAAATTGTTTGAGTTTGGAATGGTTTGAGTACCAAGGTACCACTGTATTTATATACAAGCAAAACAAACAAAACTTTTTTTAATTTTGACTATTTGTAAAATAAAATAATGTTGTCAATAAATTTTAAATCAGTCAAAAATTAAAATTTTTACCCTTTCTCCTGGTCTTCCAGGAAATCCTTGTTCTCCAGGAGTTCCCTAAAAGTATGAAATATTTAATTAATTTTTAAAATAAAAACCAAGTAACAAAATATAGATATACAAAATTTCCATTTGATATTATCAAACTTAAATAAGCGGTTAAAAATTATAATTAAAATACAACTTTTAATACTTAAAATATTAAAATTAAATAAATTAAAATAAATTCTCAAGTTGTTGATTGAATTACCCTTTCTCCAGGAACCCCTACAACAGGTATCACAGGTTCTCGTGGAAGACCTGGATCTGGTGGCCTCTAGAAAGAAAGTCTATAATTTATTATTCATTATAATTTCAAGCTTCTTAAAATAAAAATTATATTTCATTCAATTACACAATTAATTTTTTTCTTCAAAACTCAAAAAGTTAATAATAATTTTAATTAAAACAAAAAAATAATAATATAAAAACAATCCCACACAATTTTTGTTAATCTTAACAAGGATTATTTACCTTCAGATATATCAAAATTTCAGAAAAGTTAATAAATCTTTTTTTTTTTTCATTGCTAAATAAAAGATCAAAGCTACCATCTAGCACAATATCTCTAATTTTTCTTTAAAAATGCTAAGCCAAGATGGTCTTTAATAAATAGTCATCTAACTTACTTTCTATAAATAGTCTTAATTCTATTATTCTTATTTTTACTGGATAAATATAATTTAATAATTGCCTCAATTTGCAAAACAATGCAAAATTTTAATTAAAATTTCAACGTTATGATTTCACTTCTTCAAAGCTGATTTAGTTTAATTGTATTAATTAGCTCTAATCTTTGAGGTCATCATGTCAGCCAACACTATTGCTAATAACTTTCATTTTTAATATTCTGAGAAGTAAAACTTCTTCAGCTCCCTTACATATATGTATTGTATACATTTTCTATAATACTGTAGAATATCTAAAATTGCATTGAATATACGTAAAAATGATTGTTTTTTGGCATTCTTCAATTTTACATTATCTTCTTAACACATAATAATAACATACAACAAAGGTTTTATACAAGGTGTTTCGAAACTCATGGGCAAAAATTTAAGGGGTGATAGAAAACAACTAAACAAGCAATTTTCACCATACAATGCATGGGCGGAGAGCAAGTGGTGAACCACTAGACAGCGCTGTAATGGAAAGATTAAAGAGTGAGTTTTCTTATACATCGTCATTTTTACCGCGGATTTCAGAAAGCATGGCCTGCATGCTCGCCCGATCTCTCCTGCCTGGACTTTTTCCTGTGGTGCCATTTGAAAAGTCTCGTGTAGACCTAGTTGCCAGGATTTCTGTTGCTGCCGGTGCCATTCAAGAGATGCTGAGTGTGTTTGAAAAATGCGCCGCTCCCTATGTCGCAAGTGTAATGCCTGCATTACCGCAGGTGGTCGCTCTTTTGAACAGTTTCTGTAATTTTGCCACACATGCTGTCAAAAAAATTATTTAGTATCTACTCTATCTGTTTGGTGTTTGGTGACAGTAATGGATACCTCCTATGAATTGCTCTCCGCCCATGTAATGTATAGTGAAAATTGCTTGTTTAGATGTTTTCTATCACCCCTTAAAATTTTGCCCATGAGTTTCGAAACACCCTGTAGATTAAGTGACAAAAACACACACAATCAGTATTGAAAAGTTACCAATCACAGATTAAAGTCATATTATTAATTAAAAAAACAAATTGAAACTTACTGGTACATCAGTTGTACCTCCAGTTCCTTCTTCTTCATCTGAAATTTTCATAATTAAATATTAATAGATTTTAAGTGATAAATATCCTTCATAAGAAAACTTGTCACATTTTACATTCTAATTCAATTTATTGATCAAAAAAGAAGAGACCTAGTCATTAAGCATTTAATATGAAAATTTTATTAAAAAAATATTTTATAAATGTTCTTTTTTGAACATTTATTTAAAAAAATAGGTATAATTAGAAAGGTTTTGCAAAGAATTGAATAAAAATACTTATAATATAAATTTTAAAATACTTAAAATAATCTTTAAAATATTACTTTTTATAAATTTTATTTTCTATTAAATGTTTGTATGCAAGCCTTTTAAAGATTCAATCCAGATAGCTAACTATAGTAAAATTACTTAAAAATAAAGAAAAATATATACAACTGTTTCCTTTGCATTGAAGGAAGTTGAAAATTTATGAGAAAGAAAGTTAATAAATCAACAGTACACCTTAAACAAGCAGCAATAATTAAATAAGCAAATGTTTTCAACCTGTTAAACAGGTCTTCATCAGGTCAAGAAGTTTTGCTTACTAAATAATTGCTACTTATATAAATAAAGTGTATTATTGATTTATTGGTATTTCAATACCAGTTTAAGCTGTTCATTAGACAAAGTTAATTCAGAAAAATAACACTTGATCTCTAAGTAATAAAAATTTTGTAATACAATAGGAGAAATTATACAAAATGTGAAGCAGATTTATGAACTATGAGGATTTTCCAAATAAAACTGTATGATATGATATAAGTATAGCTAGACCCTAAACTTAATATTAATTAAAATATTGATCTAAATTGAATATTGATAAGATCAAAGCTACCATCTAGCACAATATCTCTAATTTTTCTTTAAAAATGCTAAGCCAAGATGGCCTTTAATAAATAGTCATCTAACTTACTTTCTATAAATAGTCTTAATTCTATTATTCTTATTTTTACTGGATAAATATAATTTAATAATTGCCTCAATTTGCAAAACAATGCAAAATTTTAATTAAAATTTCAACGTTATGATTTCACTTCTTCAAAGCTGATTTAGTTTAATTGTATTAATTAGCTCTAATCTTTGAGGTCATCATGTCAGCCAACACTATTGCTAATAACTTTCATTTTTAATATTCTGAGAAGTAAAACTTCTTCAGCTCCCTTACATATATGTATTGTATACATTTTCTATAATACTGTAGAATATCTAAAATTGCATTGAATATACGTAAAAATGATTGTTTTTTGGCATTCTTCAATTTTACATTATCTTCTTAACACATAATAATAACATACAACAAAGGTTTTATACAAGGTGTTTCGAAACTCATGGGCAAAAATTTAAGGGGTGATAGAAAACAACTAAACAAGCAATTTTCACCATACAATGCATGGGCGGAGAGCAAGTGGTGAACCACTAGACAGCGCTGTAATGGAAAGATTAAAGAGTGAGTTTTCTTATACATCGTCATTTTTACCGCGGATTTCAGAAAGCATGGCCTGCATGCTCGCCCGATCTCTCCTGCCTGGACTTTTTCCTGTGGTGCCATTTGAAAAGTCTCGTGTAGACCTAGTTGCCAGGATTTCTGTTGCTGCCGGTGCCATTCAAGAGATGCTGAGTGTGTTTGAAAAATGCGCCGCTCCCTATGTCGCAAGTGTAATGCCTGCATTACCGCAGGTGGTCGCTCTTTTGAACAGTTTCTGTAATTTTGCCACACATGCTGTCAAAAAAATTATTTAGTATCTACTCTATCTGTTTGGTGTTTGGTGACAGTAATGGATACCTCCTATGAATTGCTCTCCGCCCATGTAATGTATAGTGAAAATTGCTTGTTTAGATGTTTTCTATCACCCCTTAAAATTTTGCCCATGAGTTTCGAAACACCCTGTAGATTAAGTGACAAAAACACACACAATCAGTATTGAAAAGTTACCAATCACAGATTAAAGTCATATTATTAATTAAAAAAACAAATTGAAACTTACTGGTACATCAGTTGTACCTCCAGTTCCTTCTTCTTCATCTGAAATTTTCATAATTAAATATTAATTAAAATATTGATCTAAATTGAATATTGATACAAACTATTTTCATTTTGAAACTGGCAATATTTTTATTTTGGCATTTGTATCAGTACAATACAATATATTATAAAATTACTATAATTTAAGTTTATTTGTTAGTCCCTATCAAACTTAATTCCACTACTGAATCAAAAACATATACCTGCACATATAGGACAGCATTTTCCTAATGGAATGAACTCATGAGTTTTACATTCAATTTCTTGACATTTTTCTGTTTCACATACTGGATTTCCAGAAAAGCATTTGCATGTTGTGCAAGGGTCTGGATACCATTCTTCTCCATCTTGATATGATATTTTAAATTAGTTACTCGTTTTTATCATAGAAAACTT